ACCACTTCTTGCTGTCAGATGCTGTGGGTGTGTGTGTGTGTGAGAGAGAGAGAGCGAGAGACTGAACACGAAAGAGCAAGTAGTCCATGTGTAACAAAACAGTCAGTGCGAAGACCTGGTAACACTGAAAGAGAAGCTGAGGTTGTTCGCTGGCCTGACACAGTAGGGAAGAAAAGACAACATTACCGAACAAGGCAACAAAGCATTCTTCCCCCTTTTCCCCACTGCATGCTCCTCACCCCGTCGAACTCAACTTTTCAGCTGCAGGGGGGAGAGAGGGGGTTATTGGCGGACACACAATGAATTGGCTGTATGAACTGAGTCTTGTGACAGAGTATGAGACCATACAGCCTTAGAAGGCAGTAAAGCCGGTGTGAGGGGATTGAGTTTGTGGTGGAAAGAGAGAAGAAGGCCTGTTAAGTTTTCCTAGCTCAGACCTGTGGTTTCTGTACTTGCGTGTCACATGGCTATTGTTCACTTGCTGATGCCGGTATCATGGCCATGGTCCCCCGCCGTAAACCTTGGTTTGAGCTGACTGCAGGTTCAAGCAGGAAACCACAAATACTCTCTTTGTTTCTCAGCACTGCCATTTGTGAGTGCACTGTTTTAAAAAAAATAAAAAATAAAAATGAAAGAAAGCAGTCTTTTGACCTTCTAAAACTAGCCTGAGTATGTCTGGGTGCAAACTGTAATCACTTACTCACTCAGACTAAGAGAGTTTGGTGCTTTGTGGCTGTATGTGTAATACCTTGGCGGATCTATGGGAACTCGCTATCAATTCACGTTAAAAGGTGTGCTATCATCATAATCATGACCCCCAAAAAATGCACAAATGGCATTTTTTGCTTCCCTTTTCAACTTCATCCACTTAAAAAATGACTTAGCTTCTGAAAAGTCAAATACTCTTTTTAAAGGCAACCAGAGATGATACCTGTGGATGCAGAAAAGTCCTGTAGAAGTCTATGGATAAAAAGGCCCTTGACTTTGACCTCTGTTAACACTTTTCTGATGATGTGACTCATTCTAAGGAACTGTTTCTGATCCTATACATTACTAAGTCGACTAGCATAAGGTTGCTATTGCACAAATGTTCAAATGGGAGTAGAAGGTTCTGTGGATGGCTTACTGGCAAAGAGCTAATTAATAAACCAAGACTCAGCCAGTTCATTTCAGTACTAACAAATCGTATCTACCCAAAGCATCAGGTTTAGAAATTAGTAATAAACTAATGGAACAGTGTAAGTGCAGGCTTCAGTGTTTCTCTCCAGAAATAGCAAAGTGTTTTTGAGAGGAAAAGGAGAATCTATATATTTCTGATATAAGGGCGAACTCTTCTGTTTGAAGTTGCTGGGGAGCTGTCTGGATAAATCTGACAGCTCTGGTGAGGTTCAGGATTCATCCAGCAACATATTAATAACTAGCCTTATGTTATTACTGAGCTCATCTCAGACTCTGTTGGCCCATTATGAAAGCGTTAGCAGGGACGTTTTATAGAGTAACAACAGTTTGTCCCTCATCTTACAGTTTATAGTTTATATTAACCTAAGATTAATTCTGTAGCTGGACACAATGCAGAAGATATTTTTGTCAACTACTCCACCTTAAACCATTCGAGTATTATTGTCAGTAACTGCTTTTTTCCCCTCACAGAAATACTTGGGACAGAACCAGTATATCATCTTAAGATGTCAACTTGTTAGCCTTAAACTACTAACTTCTTAATCAGATAGACTTTGTAAATCCCATTTTTCATGCATGCCTTTATGTTAAACTTTATTGTAACACCTGGGAGAACAGCCATGGCCTGATGGTTTTAGTGTTTGTTTGCCTTTGGAAACTGAAGGAGTTTATGAGAAACCAATAAGCTTGGTTAAACAGTCAGCGGACTTATATCTTAAAGGATAAATAATTAAATTAGGCAATAAATCTTAGTAAACTCTATAACACTACATTAGTAAAGGCTAGATCTTTGCCATACCTCAATATAATTACTGTTAATATATGTACACGTGATTAATTTTTGCTGGAAAATGAAAAGTCCATAGCCAAGAATTTGTGCAGTGTTAAGTACCCCAGTTCTCAAGAAATATGTAATCAGTTTTCCTTGGTAGTTCGCTCAGGCCTCTCATCTATTATTTACAAGGGCTAAGTAATTATCCCACTTGTAGCTTCACAAGATATTCAATTTAAGGAGGTCCAGTTAGAGACGATTTCAACAACTGGGTGTCAAATAAAAGTGCAGTTCAACAGTATTTCAGTGTTATTAATTTTCACAATGATGTGAAGGATACTTTAATAATATTAAAACCATAAATAAAATAATAATAATAATAATAAAATTATAGTAAAATGTTCTTTTTCCTTAAGTACATTTCACATGCACATAGGGGTGTGCTATAGAAACGATATAAATTTGGCCAACGATAGAGAGGTAGACTAAAAAGCTCTATCGCGATAGCGCATGTTGATGATGTCATCAAGCTGCGCCTGTTTTGGACGAAAGCATCGCAGCGGCTACAACCATTATCATCTGCAAATTATGCCGGGCGACAGTCATAGATTTGATCAGCTGGAAAACTCATAACATGGGTTATGTAACTGTAAGAAGTTATAGTTCATGTGTTTCCTGTGTACATACGTCTGTTGGGTGGTGGGGGGAAAACATAGGCAGACAAAACACACATAGCCTGGTAGTATGTGTTTGTCTCCTGATGAGTAGGTGGAGATGTAAAACAGACCCATCGGGAAAATCAGTCAACAATGCGCTGTGTTAGATGGGCGGCTGTCTATCATGGCCGCAGTGACTGCTGGGGAATAAAGGACATGTTTTGTCATTTCAAAGCAGCTTAGTGTCAGTGCTGCCAAGTTGGAGAGCATCCAGGGAACGAGCTTCTCTGAGCAAAAGTCATTCATAGTTTGAAAAAAAAAAACCCAAAAAACCCCACACACACAAATTTAATTGGTGAAATAATCCAGCTTTCTGTTTAAATTGGACAAAATAAATCTGTTGAACCAAGAGAAAAAAATCCATTTCTCTGTGATTGTTCACTCATCAAGGTCACATCACAGCCACTATTATTAATAATGTTGTAATGAAGTTGCTATAAACGTAAGCAAATAATTATAAAACATAAGTCAGATCTCAGTGTAGGAGTTAACTGTTTCATAGGTGGCCGGTGACTGTTGTGCATGCCTTTCTCCACTCCCAAGTGACACTTCAAATAAAGATGTACCAAGTTCTCCTATGTCACAGGTCTGTTTATAGATGAGGAAAGTTGAAGCCAAGTACTGCTAATCCCATCACGGTACACTGATCTTAAGCGGCTCACCTGAAGCAGCACTTGTGTAAAACTGATCCGTATTTGTTGGGCTAGACCTATTAATCACATTGAAAACACACATAATTTGACTTGGATTGAAGTAATTTGTTAAATTTTCTTGTAACATGCAGTTTTACCAGCTCAGATCTGAGTGAATTTTATTTGACCCAATAATTTCCCACATGGCTTCACAAAAAACTAAGCCAACACCTGCCTTTTTATTTTGAGTTTATTCATAATTGTAGCAAAGATCAAACTTTAAAACTACACGATGATAATAATAGGGAGTGTAGTAACACAAATATTAACTTTTGTATTACATTGGTGTAATCTTCTAAGCAAAGTGCTTATAGAAACAAGTCTTGGCACTAGGCAGTCATCTTGGCAGCACCTCTGGGCAGTTCTTTAGGTAATTAGTGTTGAGCCCCGGGAGAGACATAACTTCATTTTCAGTGGTAACCAATTAAATCTCAAAACCATTTCACAAGTATGCTGAAATTTCCTCAGAATAAGTTTTTGAAACTTTTTATCCATGTAGGCTTTACTTAATGACACTGCTGCTTTGTAGCTTCATTAGTGGCTCAATCCAGACGGCTGATGCAATCAAGCTCTGTAGCCAACAGGACTGAACAGTTGCTATAGTAATACAACTTATCCAATAGTCGGTGAAGAAATTCCATAAGCATACTTCCATGTGTCTTTGCTATGATAACATATAGATATGTCTGCTGCCACACATGTGAAACTGTCACCTGTTGATTGGCTGTTTTAGATCAGAACTATCACCATATCTGCTGTTATGAAACTCTGTTATTAGACATATCAGGCAGTATCTTTGGCATTGTGTCTGTACAAGGGTTTTGTTTGAAAAACTATGGCTGTGTCTGACTTTCTGACCTCCTTGCCTGCTCTGCAGCTTGACTTGGCTTTAAGTGTCATGAATGCCCTTCTGAAACACCGCCGTGTGAAGTTGCAAGCATTGGCTTGGCTTGAGTGGGTGTGATGATCTCTGGCTTTGATGCAGGCCTGGTGTATTTCTGGGGTCAAGGAGGGTCCACTAAGTAAGCAGTTCACAGCAAGTTGGGGTTACAGGGTTACACAGGAAACTGGAGCCTGGAAGGTCCGCCAGCAACTAACCGTCAGCTAGAAAGCCATGGTCGACAAGCTTCCTGTGTGTACACAATTGTTCTGGTGGTCCTCCTTCTGGGCAAGGGATGAAACCTCACCAAAAATGTAATAAAAATATTTTGGCTAGCACCAACAGGATAATGCATAATCTCCGTAATGTAGTCATCCATAAACTGTATGCAGACCTCACTTGTGCTTCATCACCCCCAAAGGCCCCTGGTGACTCACAAAAACTCCTGGGCTCAGCTGTGTGTTAATATATTGGCTATTAGTGCTAAAAACAAAGTGCAGCTGAACTGATGGCTATGTTGATCATAAACCAAGAAATTAACGTTTTGGACTAACAGGGCCAGCAGAACAACATTAAGATACTTCAAAGAAGTTTTGTTTTCCTTCTGGGGTGCTGACCATATTGAGATTGGACAGATTTCTAAAGACACAATCGGGACAATAAATATCTGAACATATATTACTTTTATCAGCTTCACTGAAGTTTCTATTACATGTTACAGCCATCCAGTGCATAAGTGACAATGTTCTCCCTTTTTGCAGGCTGGTGTCCTCTATCCATGCTGCCATGGCAACCACAGCAGGAGCCGTTGTCGTGTCATCATGCTGCGGCAATGTCATTAATGACAGGTGAGACTTCATGTAAATAACCCCTTTAGTGAAACATTGCTTATCACTGGTAACACATGAATGCAGCAACTATGCTTCCTGGGCCTCCCTTTGGTGGGATCTGTTATTCCAAAGACTTGGGCCTCAATTTTGATTCACTGACTCAAACATAAATGTTAGTCACAGCCTGCTAACAGTGAACAAAGTTGCTTAATCTGTCTTAGAAGCTGCACAATCTCGGCGTGCTTGTGAGGTGAAAATGCGAATAATCACTCGGCCCTAACACAGCTCGCTGAAGTCTTTGACATAACATTCGTGCTGTTAATTCTTCACGTTCTTCACACACACAAACAGTCTAAAGTGTGAACTTGCATATTCCACAATTAAAATGAATTGATCGACACGCTCCTCCTCGCTTTATTCAGAGACCTGTTTGTCTCCTCTTCTCCCGCGGTTACTGTTCCTTGTCCTTTCAATTCTAGATTCTTCTAGTATTTTTCCTTTTGGCCCACTTAACTTATAGTTGCTTTTAAGTTTTTGTTTTTTTTAGCAGCCGTTTTTGGTTAATCTGTGGCTGCCTGCTCACTTGACTGCTGGCCATACAACATCCTATCATTAACATAACCTTAGCTGCTGAGATTTCTTCTTCCTGTTTTTACGTCACAGATATAAAGTCCATTATTTGGGTGTTTTAGTGTAACTGGGAAACTGCATGCTTGTCATCCAGGAAATAGAAGCAGCATTGCTGTCCTGGAGGTTAAGCAGAAATGTTGAGAGGACTTTTTGTTCCATCCCATCTGAGTGATAGCTCTTACCTTTAACGGCTCTGCTCATTCAGCAAAGCGTCTGAAGACTAAATGCGCTAATCTGTGATGTCGGAGGGGTTGTTGCACCAGAGCCTCATCAGCACATATTTAAATGGTTTTACTTTATTGGGAATTGGTTATAAATCAGAAGATCTGGTACCTACATTGCGATTATAGCATGAAACACTCCCCCTGCTGCTGAATATGATGCAAGCAGTCATGTAACGTTAAAGATTTTCAGACTAACTTCCTTTGTGATTGATAGGTCAGTATCTTTCCTTGGGCAGCAGTCTGCCCGTTTCTCTTATTGAACCAGCTGCTTTCATGCTGCCTCCACATCAGCCAGCTGGCAATGAGTTACTGTTAGCGTTAGCACTGGCCACTCTGTGCAGCTGAGGAAAGTGTGACGCTAGGTTAATGCCAGCCTATTAATCCTTCACTGAGTCAGCGACCAGACCCTGGCAGTCCCAGTTTCAGACTGCTAATCTCTTGCGCCCCCCCACTCCAAATCACCCACAGAGCTTAATTCCTCCACAACGCTGCTCAGTTCTGCTGTCCTGTGACATGCGCTCAACCCGGGGGCTTATGCTCCAGAGTTAGACCCACAAATACTCTAATTCTCCATCGCAACCTGTCCCTTCTTTTAGCCTTTAGTGGTTAAGTTGCAGAAATGGTGGTGTTCACTGTATAAACTGCACAATAGGACCACTAAAGTAGCTCAAACTCACCTGATTGGCCAGACTCTAACATTAGCTCCAAATAAAGTGGTTAATATGATCTGGCAAACACTGTATATCTAATTGCTTGTGCTTTTTCCCTCATTTAACAATATTTTCTATACTTTATATTTGAGAGACAAACACAATTAGGAATGCACTGAGCTATAGGGCTGCCGTGAAAGCCATTTCTTTGTTGTAATCTATAATAAACAAAGCTTTGTTTAGTGGTGGCAAATGAGAATGCCAGTGCTTATATTTGTTGTTATTTCTGAAACAGTGTGAGCAGTCCTGCATACCCCCACCAAGGCTGGAAATGAGCACCACTCTAAAAATGAGTAAAGACACAAAATGTCTAATTATGCCCTATCTTGGAATGGTAAAGATTCCTTCCAAAAATTCCTGGATCCAGGCCTGAATTCAGATCAGCTCACTAAGTTTATCATTTCTAAGCTCCGTCAAACCAGAGCCATTGTAGAAGTTTAACATGTATGTGTCCATACCTGTTTAAATAATCCTGCTAATAAACAGGTAGGCAAACAGAGCATAAGAACAAAAATAACATAAGCAGCTGAGGACGGTGAAATTCTTATTTATCTTCTATTATTATGCGAGTTACACCAATGAGAACCTATACAGCAAGAGACCAGGCAGTTCTGTTTCATGTATGTCTGGGGGACTAGTGCTTTCTTTTGTGTATTTAATACAGAAAGTATATACATTACATTACAGAATCAGCTCAAGTAGCCTTCCTTCCTCCCTAAGCTGTTTGTTGTGCCTTACTGTTCTTAATCTCCATCCACTGACCTTAAAAGCTAAAGAAGCCAGTAAGAGGTCAGGGGTCAGTAGCTCAGCTTTACCCTGCAGCTTCACTCCTTTCTGTCCACATAATTAACCATCACAGTAATCAGTGCTCATTAGGCTACTGGAGCTATCCAAGCTGTTGATTTTACTGTACTTACACTAGCTTGTCTTAAAGCTTTCCGATGCTTTGCACGGAACAGAGGGTGGTTAAAAAAAAGTGCAGGTTTTTATTTAAATCTACTGAAAGTAAATGTCTTGTTGTTGTTTTTTTTTTTTTTGACATGTTTTTTCTAGGACTAAATGCTGTGATAGTGCCTAGGCCTCCTTCTGTTCTATATTCACTGCCCACTGTAAAGGTAAAACCCAGCATTAGCAAGGTGTACCTAATAGAGCAGAAACGTTCCTCGAAGATGTTGGTCCATATTGAAATCATAACATCACACAGTTGCTGCAGATTTGTCAGATGCACTTCCAGGATGTGACTCTCCCATTCCACCACATCCTAAAAGTGCTCTATTGGATTCAGATCTGGAAACTGTGGGGGCCATTTGATTACAATGAACTCAATGGCATGTTCAAGACACCAGTTTGAGATCATTTGAGCTTTGTGACACAGCATCTGATTTTGCTGGAAGCAGCTGGATTTCCTGGATTTTGCTGGAAAATTAGTGTGCAGTGGTTGTAAATGGATGGGACATGGTCAGCAGCAATACTCGGCTGGGCTGTGGTGTTAAAACAGTGCACAATTGGCACTAAGGGGCCCAAAGTCTTCCAAGTAAATATCCCCCGCACCATTGCACCAACAACTACACCACAAAGTCAGTTAAATCACCTTTCGTTCCTACTCCATTTGGATCTTAGCAGCTCCCCTTAACCAAATTCCTAATGCCTCTTTTTCACTGGCACCTACACGGCCTTACTAGGATTTTCCTTTAGGTAGTAGTATCTGTTACTGGGCACTTTTTTTTTGGTACCTACTCGACTGGGATTCCAAGCTCCCTGAGTTAATGCCGCATTACTATAACAACCCCACCCACATTGAGGTGGCACTCAATTGTAATTACTGAAACTGAGCTGAGTCAAATCCAGTCTTTAAGTCTGACGTCATTAGCCGTTTCCGGGTCCAAACTCCACTTCAGGTCCCAAAGTCAAACGAACACTGTGGCATCACTGAAAGTTAAAAACGGTCTAAATTCTTTCATCTTTAATAAAAGGATCAGTGTGGCTGCTCAACTGAGTAATTACATTTAACATCCAGGCATCCATGAAAACAGAATTTATGAAATTTAATGGAGTTAGAAGTTAGCAGGAAGTTAGCTTGCTAGTTTCCACCCAAACATAATATACTACGTTCTGACTTAGGGATTTCTGAAAAAATTAAAATATACAGCTGTGCTATCACTTCCAACATAAATGAAGACAGGAAACTAAACAGCAGTGACATTTGTAGGGTTGCTACGTGGTGGCTAGCTACATAGCTATGGTTAGCATAATGCAGTATAAACACACTTGAGGATGAACTCTGACTTTATTCCACTTGATAAAAGTTAATGCGAGGGTTCCCGAAGATTAGTGACAAAAGCAATCGCATGGCAGGATGCTGTAAACGGACCAAACTTCAGTCAGGAGAACAACTGAGATAATCCATCTATAATACGAGGTTAGTCATTAATATACTGCTGCATGGGCTGGGCTGTACTTACATTGTAAGGTTTTAAAACTTGAGCTTTAAAATGAACAGTGATAATAAAAACCAAGAGAGGCCGACAGTGATCACTGCCCTTTTTAGGGGCTTGTTGAGATTAAATAGGACAAGTTACAAAGCATTAAAACATGTTAAAAACACAACAGCCTTAATAAACACAGAGTAGTTTGGTCCCAGAAACAGGGTTCATATGCCATCACTTAAATACCGGACAGAGTCAAGTTGAATTGGTGTGAGTGGAAAAGAGCCATAAATGTGCTGAACTGCGGCCATGATATTTGTGTAAATGAGCAGCTAAATCGGTGCTCCTAACAAAGTGACCTGTGAATGTAAGACTGGTAAATGATTAATATGGTTTTATAGTTCTGGTAAAGATTTTTTCATGATTTTTATTTAAATAAATCAAACATACATGGGCCATTCCATAAAAAACATTTAAAGTCTTCCACCTGACTCCCTCAGGATCAGGCAAGTTTTTTTTTGTTGAATTTTATAAAGCCAAGCAAAGTTTTACTTTTATATTCTAAATATTTTCCACATTACAGACTCTCAGAGTGCAAGGGCACGAGTCTGTATTTGACTTTTTTTTTTTATTTTTTTATTTTTTAATATACCTCAGTTTCTATAGCTTCTTAAGTAAACTGTGCAGTCATATAACATTTTCAGGTCTGAAAAACACACTTAAGCTTTAAACTTTAAAATCTAGCCATATCAGTTTAATACCCGTTACAAACAAAAGTAAAATTAATGTACTTGTTCAGCACTTTTTTTTATTTCACTAGCCTGTGTCATGTAAAATTATAGTTTTAGTGGCAAAACTTCCTCAGTTTTGTGTCTATGTTGTAGAGAAATGGAGACAGACACTGATACCCTGAATGTTTGATCTGTTTTCAGATCATTCACTGGAGAAAATGTCAAAAAGTTCACTCTGTGTAAACTTTCAGGGATGATATCACCATGTAAAATAGGCAATTGGTCAAAACGAGTTGCATCTCATGAAAGGTCTGTTTTGTTTTGTTTTTTACCCGCATTGTGATAGCAGGCTCAACTTCTTAATAATGAGTATTCAATTATTTGAACATCATAGTCATCCATTTTCGATAGAGGCATTCCTGTGGGTGATTCTGCTGTTAGTTGTAGACACTGATAACAATTTTATTTTGTCTTCCTCAGGCACTGGCTGGCCACCTACTTTGTCATCTGGTACGGTGTCCCCTACATGACGTACGACATCTTTGCCATGTACCTCAGTCACTACTACCGCTTCCACATCAAAGGGCACGAGGACTACAAGCAGCATTCACTGAGGACCATAAACTCCTTTGTCCGTAAGGAGTTCCTGCTGGTCCTGCATCACATCGCTCTGCTCACCATCCTGCTGCCTGTCACACTGGTGAGGAGGGCTGATGGGGAAAAATTAGGGAGGGGCTGAGATGGCATTTAGTACCACAGATAAATAATTAAGATAACTAATACATGCAAGTACTATTAGTGATAGACTGCTATATTTGTATATGTGATAATTTAAGGAATATACAATTAGCTTAGGAATATATATAATTAGCTCTTTTCCAACACAATGCTACCTCAAAGAGAAGCCAAACTTATAAGACACACCTGGATTCATATCTGTGGAAAATAGCCCCTCAGGATCATCTGTTATCACTTCTTCTTTTGCTTGTAGACCCATTTGATAGCATATCACAGCATCTGAACCTAGCATGGGGTCTGTAGTTTTTGTGTTTTGCAGAAAGCCCCACTTGTATGTAGCTTGCCTCTATCAACAAAGAGTCTCACTGCCTCTGGTTCAGATAGAACGTTTGATAGGCCATGTATCTGTCAGAATGGGTGTGTGTTCTTTTTTTTCTTTTCTTTTTTTTTTTTTTTACAAGAGCCTCTTTAGCTTCCTCATCACCATGTTAAGTCACTGCATTGGTTAGTGAGCGTGCAACCTGTGACCTCATCGCAACACCGTGGGCATTTATATTTGGCGCTTGAGGTGTGCTGCACCAGCTTGTGACTTTTCCAGAGCACACTACTCAGAAAAACCTCCACATTGGTGCTGTGATTGTGGAGGTCTTCCTTTTCAGACAGTGACAGTGGCTAGCATAACCAGGTCAGTAGCATTGTGCAGTGGACTTTTGACATCCCTGGTCCAGCTGAAGCCAAAAAACTATTAGCTTTTCCATAAATTACACTGATAGTTCTTTAAGTGCTGGGCATCTGCACTGGTGTCTTCTTCACCCTGAGTCAGGGCCTCTGCTGTGTGCTAATATAGTAAGTTCAAATTTCACTCATTAACTTCTGTGCAGGTGCACTAATAATGAATGTTTGACACAACATCCTGATCCACCTGAAATGTGCGCCAGTTTGCACCTCAATTGCAAACTGAAGCGCAAACCACCTGGGAGGGAAACACGAGAAGGGCATGAAAGGCTGGAACTCACCGTTTAGCAGACTGACCTTTCAAAGTAAGAGCGAGGACATTGTTCAGTAGTAAAGTCTCAGAGGGATTAAACAAGTACTAATAAAAGGTGCAAAAAATGAGTGGTCAGAGATACGTTGCCTGTGGGTGGACTTTTTAAAGGAAAAATGGCATTCAACATATAATGGCTTTATTCTTTTCCTGGTATTTTCCATAATAGAACATTTAATTCCTTATTGATGTAGGGAAATGGGCCATATTCAGTGATTTGAGGAATCCAGCTCTAAATTATTAAGAAATCACAGAACTCATGTTATGTTTCTGTGAATTTAATGATGTTAAATGTGTTGTACTTTCAGTCAGGCGTTAGTTTATTTCAGTGTAGCACTAGATTCATCTTAAAGGGGGTTAGTATTCTCTTTCAGTCTTCTTTAATAAGTGTTCACTGCCAGTAATACTTTATTACTGAGTACTCTAATGTTGTGCAGTGGTTTCAAATCAATTCTTGCCTTAAGCTGCATTATCTCCTAATGATTACTTAAGTGGTGGCAAAAAATAGATTTCATTCTGCATGTCCTTTTTTTTTCAAACCTCAGTTGAAATAAATGGACAATAAATGGACAATAAATGGACAATAAATGGACTTCTGCTTGGAATTAAGAGGAAAAATGCACTTTATAATTAAAAAAAATTGCTTTGGAAAGTGGTTTGCAGTTATATCAAAGACGTGCGTCATCATGCTAATCCACCTCCACATAACATCTGTTATCTCACCGCTTTGTTAATGTACAGTAAACACTAGCTCAGAACTGCAGCACATGCTTTTAAGGCTGTTTGTTGCTTATAGAGTCAAGCAGACGTATAAACAAATTTTCAACACAACATTTTCATACTTAACCAAACATCTGTGTCTTTTTGAATTCCCCGTAGTGGCGTCTGAAAGCATCATTATCAGTAAAGCTGTGATGCAGAGTGCTTTACTTCCTCTTTAGAAGGACCAAGGAAACCACAGAAACAATGATGGTGTCAGTTCTGTTACAAATAGGTGGCTTAAACTAATTAAGAGTCCTTTCACAGGCCGTACTGAGTCAGTACTGAACAGCTTTTTATGTGACACAACAAAATGGAAATAATTGTAAAGAGTTACTGAAGCTGTTCCTAGATGCCTTTTGGGGAGTAAAAGATGTTGCTAATATTGAAGTTGGTAATGTTGAAGTTAAAGTTAAGTATAGTGGTGACTGTTGTGAGT